ACAGTTCCAGACCCCCTTTTTTGCAGTTGTGTGTGTCTGGATAACCATTCCCTTCCCCCTTCGACTCAACACACATATACTGTACAACCAAATAATGTCCATCTACCATTTGTGTGGTTGATATCTAAGTGCACTGCATCTCACCTTGCATGACTTTCTGGTGGGATGAAGACATGCTCTTAGATTAGCGGAAAGCCTTTGCTTTTCTTTTGCATTCTTTCCTCCCCGGCTCTGGGTGCCTCTCCACTGCATTTTCCACTGCAGGGCCTGTGTCTGCATGCAGATTCTAGTCAGCTTTTGTACTGAAAAAATTGCATGACCGAAGGAAAACCGTGATGGATTACCAGTGTTGTCACTATTGTTATTGCTTGTTTGTTTGTTTAATACAGATGAATTTTGAAGGCATTCCAAATGTTGAGGGTTTGAGTACGCAGAGATCAGACCTGAATGGTTTTAATTATTCCCAAGATTCATAAGTGATAGCTTTAATGGATAAAGTATTGCACTGCATGATGTCCTAATATGAAATTCTTCTCTCTGATGTTCCATAGGAAACTCAGTGTTTTGATTTGCCATCCTTTGTTGAAAACTTACGTCACACAGTTACTTGGGAATTGGGCAACTATACTAAAGGCCCAGTTTTATTCAGGGATGGATAAACAATCTTTACATGCTAAGCATGCATAATGCTCAGTAAAACCCATGCAGCACCTCTCAGGATGAAGAGCTAAGAGATAGGTCTGAATTCTGGATTTTAGCTTTCGGTGGACTTCTTCAGATAAAACATTTAAACAGACCTTGTAAAATAAAGACTCAGAGGGGGAGTCATGTTCATCTGTATCTGCAAAAACAACGAGGAGTCCTGGGGTCCTTAGCCCTGATATACATGAAGGAGTTATTTTGAAATAACAACTCCAGCTTGTCATGAGGAATAATGCTTATTTCAAAATAGTTATTTAGAAACAGCATTAGTGTGGATGCTCCACTGCTGCTAGTTTGAAAGAACTACTCCCCAGAGTCATTCAAAGTAATTATTCCCCAGTGCTTCCTGGGGCTCTGAGTGGAGGTAGGACATCCACAGTAAGGGAGCCTGCTTTGGACTCATTTCGAGGCTTTCCTGCAGTGTGGACATACTGTTTAGAAATAATTATTCTGGGAGTTATTATTTCAAAGTAAGTGATTTTGAAATAATTTCCTAGCATAGACATGCCCTTAAAGACTAACAGATTTCTCAGTTGCATTTAACAGATGCATCTGACAAAAACGGGGACGGGATAGCTCAGTGGTTCGAGCATTGGCTGCATTAGCCTGTTAAACCCAGAGTTGCAAGTTCGATCCTTGTGGAGGCCATTTGGGGCAAAAATTGTCAGGGATGGTATTTGGTCCTGCTGTGAAGGCAGGGGACTGGACTCAATGACCTCTCAAGGTCCCTTCCAGTTTTAGGAGATAGTCAATCTCCATTAATTTAATTTAGGTTATTACCCACAAAAACTGATGCCCAAATAAATCTGTTAATCTTGAAATTCAAGCTGTACAAGCAACACAAAAGAGCCTTACAAATGAGTAGGCTTCAAACATGTTATTTATTTAGGATGAAATTGAAAAATTAGCCTCAACGATACCTCTCATTAATGGCACTCTGGTATTGCATTTAGAATTCGCATTGTGTTAAGCATTTGGGTTAGTATATACGATGTTCTCAGCAGTACTGTGATGCATCAGGGTTGATTTTCAGACGTGCTGAGCACTAGATTCACCAATTGCTCTTCCAATGGAGTTTGGAGAGGTTTGGCATGTCTGCAAATAAAACCTAAAATAATCCGATTTACAGATGTGGAATAATACAAAATGAATAATGTATTTAGTGAATTCTGCTTGTTTGAAAATTGATCAGGAACAGATTTCATTTTTTTCAGATATATTTGCTACTTGAAATAATTTCCCAATGAGCAGCAAAAAATAATTCTTGGTGTGTAAGCCATTCACGAGTATTCAATATTAATGAATTGATCTCTTTTGGCTGGACATGTTTGGCGATGTTACACAGTATGTTTTGATTCCTTGGCTAATTCATCTTAAATTCTTACAAGCAGGTTTGTGGAGCAGTTGCTTTCAATGATGAATTTGCAACTCCAGGGAACATTCTGAAAAATATTCACTTAAAAGCAGCTGTTTCCCCCAACATGCCTGTTGTTAAACTCATTTGCAGGAATGTTTGTAGGATGCAAACATAAAAAGGGAATAAACCCAACTGAGAAGAATTGGTTCAAAACTTTAAACAAATAATATCCACAGCTTTTTTTTTTTTTTGCATTATTTACCAGTCACTGGTCTCCAAATATCCATCTAAAATGCAAAATTAATGAAAGAGTTTCTGAGCCATTTTCTGATCTCACTTAAAATGGTATAAATCTGGAATTGCTCTGGATTCATTCTGATGTAGTTAACATAAGAATAGGCCTTCCCCCTATTGCTAAATTTGCTAAATACCAGCTGATTATTCAAAACATGAAAGTTAATTTAATACTTCTCTAGTCTCTGTGTCTTTGGTCCAGGGAGCTAATAGCAAACACTCCACTAGGGGATGTGTCTGTGCCTGTTATAGGACGTACCCCCATTGGCTAGTTTATGCCCTTTGACTCTGTCCCCGTCCCCTGAGAGCGCCATTGGGGGAAGGCAACTTTAATTGTGCCTCCCCAGTGGTAGAGTTTGCCCATGGAATGCTTTGAATGACCTAATCATTATGCACCCTGCCCAGTGCCCCCACCCTATTCTTTGCCTAATTCAGATTGCACAAGAGTAAAGACATCACTGTGAGCAGAAGGGGAGGACCTGGGATCTTGAACAAGAAGGACCTGGTCCTTATCTGTGGGTCTGTTCTTTCAGGCTGTAATCCAATGCCTGTTGAGAACCAGCATGGTCCTGGGGATATGGTATGGCACTGGGTGTTAGGAGACCTGGATTTTATTCCTGGCTCTGCTGCTGACCTGCTCTTTGACAGTGGGGAAATCATTTTCCCAGCCCGTGCCTCTCTTTCCTCTTCTGCTTTTTGTCTCATCTTTTTAGCTGGGGATTTTCATAGGTGCCAAAGGGAGTTAAGCATCCAACGCTCGCTGAATTTCAATAGATTTTGACACCTCATTTTCTTATGCTTTTTTGACAATCCCAGTTTTACATTGTAATTTCCTCAGGCAGGGATTGTCTTTGAGTGTATGTGTGCACAGTGCCTAGCACTAGGGGGCCTCTGAGCTCAGTGGAGGCTTTTAAGTATTGTAATACATGATGATAATTCAAGTCAGTGAGGTTGGGATTAGGCGCTCGGTCACTACTCAGGATCAAGTCATGCAACACAAGAAAATGCTGCATAAGCACATTTCTCTTTGTGCAGTTGTTTGAGGTTTCACGATATAAAGCGGCTACTTACAAACACCATCTTCTAACACAATGGGCCTCAATGTCTGGATCTTTCACTGGCAAAAACAAATGCTCACTCCTGTTAGCACTTGGGATGTTAACTAATGATTAATTTACTAGTCAATGGAATTTCCGTCAACTACTCGACTAGTTGATAGGCACTTCCACGTTCCTCCTTTGAAATATACAAGAGCCCCCCCGCTCTTGAAATGTACAAGAGCCCCCTCATTCCTCCTTTGAAATGTACAAGAGCCGCCGCTGCTGCTTTGAAGTAACCCCTCTTCCCCCCACTTTGCTGTCTCTATCTAATAGAGGTGGGGGGGGGGATCGACTAGTCGACTAGTCCTTCACACCCTTAGTTAGCACAGCACAGCCGATAAAACTGCCTCACATATCCACAGTTCAACTGGAACTGAAAAACCTTTATTAGCAGGGATGAAATAAGAGGCAGCTTAATTCTTAGATCTGAGATGGCACCACAGACAGCTAGGAAAAATTAATCTTTTGCTACTTTTTTAGCTGAGCAAGTTTGACCTTGAAGTCATTGAGAGAGGATAGATAGGTTCCAAAATGCCCCTCTTTCTGACCCACCTATAATCAGCTGGTATTTGGTAAATATTAGTTTTCCACAAAACTAAAAAAAAATTGCAGTTTAGTTCTCGTATGTTGCAGATATCAACTTTTGCCCCTTTCATAAATTTTCACACAATCATTTTTTGCAGGCTTCAGGTGAAGTGTCATCCTCTTCACTTGAAATTTCACAATTTAGAAATTTGAAAAGAGAGAGAGTTGGCTCCACAGTTTATCAACAAGAATAATCTCTACTCTGAAGACAGGATGGTTTTCAAGCAAAAAACAGAATATCTTGCAGTAAAATTAGAACATTTTAAAGAAATTGCATTTAAATACAAACAACTCAGATTTTGAAGTTTTCCTGTTTTGCTGCAAATATTTGAGTGACCCTAGTAAATATGCATGTGATTTTTAACCTTAACTGCTTATTAGGATTTTAATTGACAATGCTGTGGTTAATACACATTAAGTATACTAGAAAAAGATTTTTTTAGTCTGAGAAAGAAAAGACATGAGAATGTTTTCAGCCAGTAGAAAAGGTGGCATGAGTGAAAGAAGAAAGGGGGCAAGGCACTGGTTTGAAAAGGCATAAATAACAGCTTTTAAACTTTTAAATATATTTAGTAAACTTTTATTAATATTTCCCTATGGATGAAGGATTTTTGAGAGAAGCTGTGGGGAAAAAAAACTCATGATAGGAGCCAATAAGTGATTTAAGAAATCATTGATATCATTGTTTCATGCCATTCTCTTCAGCAAGCCCTCTAAACATAAGAAGGTTTTCTGTTTAAGCTTCCATTATTTTTCCCGAATTAACGACCCCTTGCATTTCATTCGTGATGATGGAAACCATTCTGAAATACTCTAAAACAAATTAAAACTGGCCATATCTCTCTGCTGCTCTGTAATGCCGTGGGTTTCTAACGGCCGAAGGGGAAGGGACATGCGGTTTCCAGAGTGACTCCCCCTGCTGTCTCCTTTTTGTCTTTGTTTCACTTTGTTTCCATGAACAGTCAGAAGGTCAGCTTGAAAGACCGTGTCTTCTCCAGTCCCCGAGGTACTGGAACTAAAGGGAAAAGCTCTCCACAGGCTCAGAGCCTCCGGAGATCCCCCAGCGCTGATCAAAGCATTGAAGATAGCCCGAGCAAAGTGCCCAAAAGCTGGAGTTTTGGGGACCGGAGCCGAGCCCGCCAAGCGTTCCGGATCAAGGGAGCTGCGTCGCGACAAAATTCTGAAGGTGAGCACATCAGAGAGCGGCCATGTCACCATGGAATGCTGTCCTACTGGCTTCCTCCCAAGCTAGGCTGGGTGAGCACTTG